AATGTTTCGCGTTTAGACACGTGGTTCGCTTCTCACACAGGGTGAAATTACCCATTTTGGGTAATTTTGAGGTGTCAATGGGCAATGGAGGGATCGATGGGAAATCAGTGAATAAAAGACGTTTGAAAAGAATAAGATTGCATCTAAATCATTTCAGTTTGAAGTGAACGTATCATAGACAATAGCCTTTCATGCGATCATAATCGATTGTGATCTAGGACAGTGCTTCTCCTAGGGAGTGAAATTAAACATTTGAAAAGAATGAGAACAGCAGATGATCGAAGTGATCTTTTGATCAATCAGTGATCAAAATGATTGTCAAATCAATAATCAATAATCGAAGTCAGAATTTCATTTTGACAGCAGCAGCAGATGATTTCCAACGCTGTTATCGTTAGATATGCCGGAAAAAGGATGTCAAGGAAGGAAGAACGTAATATCAGTGATAACAGAGAGGCATTAACTCGTATTCTCTGATCAAATCAATAAAATCAGAGTTAAGATCACAATAACTGATCAAAGTCAAATCAAATCGCACTAACCATGTTGACCAGTTTAGCTTGCTGATCGAGTTTAGCTTCTCCATGCATAATCCTCTCCAAATACTTCTTCAATCGACTACTCCCTTCTTTAGCTGATTCCTTCGTATCCGCCCAAATACCACGAAGCCACACGAAACGTGCTTGATTGTATTCCAGACGCCATATGACCATTNCGATAAAACACTGTTGATTCTGCTAATCCTAGATTCTCCTACTAGATTCTCTCTGATCACCCAACCCAAATCCTACAGCTATCCCTACCTCCCCCCCCCTTCAAATAAAAGAAAAACCCCCAGAAATGTCTGCCCGTCCGTCCGTCTCCCGTAACCAACCCGAGAAATCACCTGAGTTTGATGTTGATCACCCTCATCCGCGTTGAATTGTCTACCGTTCACGAACGGCACCATGAAATCCTTTTGTTTATCGATGAACATATAAGTGAATTGTATGCGTTGATGAGGTGATGCAGATGCAGAGTTGGTATCGTATTTGGATACGAAATCTCGCAACGTATCGATATATTGCTGATCGGTACTGGTGTCGAGCACGGTCAAGATCACACACAATTTACGGGCGCTTCTCGACGACACCGGGCACAGATCATCGAAATGCGCTTGAGAGCACAGCTGAAATTCGCTGACATTTCAATTTCAGGCTGATATTGATCGGAGGTGACCGTTGATCTTGTTCGATCAGTCGCGAAACTCGTGAACAGATACATTATTGTCTTATCATATTAGTTTTAAGAATCATTCGGCAATATGCGATGGAGAATAGCCCGAAATCTGAGTGATCACCAGATCAACCGATAAT